CAGGCGATTGGCAGCCAGTTGTTGGACAGCCAAAGGGCCAGCATAGCACAAGGATTAAAAACCAAATGGCTCTGCCGAACAAAGCCCCGGCCGCCCAACGTTCTGGCAGTCAATGTCAGTTTCGTGGCATTTTTGGCTGCAGTCCTTCCGAATATCCCACAGCATTTCGCGCTATTTGCGCTGGCGACTGGATCATAAACCTCTTCACTTGTTGCAATGGATGAGGCTCTAATAAAGCAGCTTAAAGTACAATAAAACGCACAACAACTCTGCATGAGCGTACGACAAAAGCCAAGGCAACTCTTTATGAAAGTTCAGGCAGCGCCATGGCAACTCTTTTTGATTGAGAAAGATTTACTAGTCAAGTCCAGATAATTATCAATATGTCGAGGAGTTATAAATAGTATAAAAAGCTCGATTTCCATTTAGAATTTTACAATTATCTAAATTCATATTAAATCTGGAGTACTTTTTAATCGGAATTAAAATATATACACCAGATTTACGTGGGAAAAAGAAATGAGTTATTTAAGGTATTAGAAAATCGAATCATTTCAATGTCAATAATTCCTTATCATATATACATATATATATACAGGCAACACAATATGAATGAGCATGATTTGGGATGTTTATTTTGTTTAATTTTAATGAAGAAAAGATTATTTACTTTATAGTTTTTGTTGTTCGTTATGACTAACATTATCCTCGTCTCGACTAGCTTCAAATTTTGTTGATTATCGTTTCATATTTCTCCTCAGATTAACTAGCCGATATTTTTATCAAAGTACATTATAATAAGCCGTTCTTTAAGCGATGTAGATTAATGTCTCAGTTATTTATCTATTTCCACTGTAGAACCAATTAGAGTTTGGATCATACCTACAAATATGTTACTTTTTGGTTATAATCGAATATGAATTTTTTAAGCACCCTAAAATATTTGTACATACAAATTTTTTGTGATCAAAGATAGATCAATTTTTATATATTTATTTATATTTACTATGAAAGAAGGTCTTCAACAAATTATTTTTTTTTAGAGATTTTAGCAATTCGATTTTTAATCAAATGTGGAAACGAATTGTGAGCGAACCCTGTACCTAAGTTTGCGATGTCTGAGTTGACTTAAGATTTTCTTAATTATTTAAAAATGATTATATAATTATTAAAAACAATCCTACGGCAGCTTAACTTCCCAATATATTGATTCCCATCCGACAGTTTCGATATCGAATGGCTTTAATTAAGCGCTCAAGCTTAAAGTTAAATCATCTATGCCCAAAAGGATGCCCTATAGCACCTGTTATGCTCAATGCTCTTCAAAATAATTATCTTACTGGCGTAGGGTATTAAATGGTCAGTGATAATCAGAAGCAGCAGCAGCTAATTGCATATGCTCAAGAGCCGAGCCGAGGAGCAACAGCAGTTGAACTCTGTTGGCACGCATAAAACTAACGTTGACTGGCGCTGACCCGCAACTAACTGCAGTTCGAGTAGACCACGGGCCACGCCCACAGCTGTTGCGCCCAGTTGCTGCTGATGCCTGACAAGCTTTTAATGGCACTTGCAATGGGAGTCTCTGGAGTGCCATTGCTGGGGCTTAGCCGTGCACTGCCGAGCAGCTCCATTTGCTTTGGTTATGCTTGGCTAGCAAGAGCTGCTTGTTGCTGTTGCTGTTGTCCATTGACTTGGTCAGAAGGACCGCAGCTGTTGGCCAATCGGACACGTCTAAATGCACTAATAACGGTAATGATTTGAACTCGGGAATACGACGCAATGGACCCAACGGTGCATGAATTCAATTTTAATACAACTCGCAAGTGCAGACACAGACAGACAGACAGACAGACAGACAGACAGACAGACAGACAGACAGACAGACAGAGAGAGAGGCGGACAGTTGGACGCTTCGATTGCCATGGCAGCAGACGCCACAAGAGGCAATTGTGTTGGGTGACTGAAATTATTTTTCGTTGATTAGAATCAACATAAATAAAATTAATTGTTGCCGCTTCGTCTGTTGCGTCTCTCTGTCCCTCTCCCTCTCACTCGCTTTTGAGGGGTTGCATTCAATTTGATTATTAGCATTTGCCCCGCAAGAATCCACTCGAGTGTGCCACAGGCCAAGTGCACTCGGTGCCTGGCTGCTGTGCCCCCAGAGGGTTGCTCGGCTCAGCTCATGCTTTGAGCGACCCTTTGTCGCTGGCTAATTTTTAGAGTCTTGAGTCGAGATGAGCGCGTGCCGTGCGAAAATTCTAAAAAATTAATCTGCCAAAATGCGTTAAAACTGTTGTATGGAATACTTATATTTAGAAACTGTTTGTCTCTCGTCAAAAATTCTAAAATACGCACGACTTTACATGGGAATATTATCAAAAATTTCACTTGAAAACGTGAAAAATAAAACTCCTCTTTTAATTTTTAAAAATATAGCAATAAAATGTTCAATACAGTAAGAGAAAATTTTAAATTTATTTTTCCGATATTTTGCAGCAAATAATTGTAATAATAATAATTCGCCAGAATATCGACAAAGAGTGTCAAAAACAACTGATATATAAATATATGTATTGATTGTTTTAGAAAATTTATTTTTGGCACGAAAATCGTATTAATCGCACGACACGCGCTCATCTCTAGCCAAGTCTGGCGGGTCGTGCGTCCCTCGGGTATTCGTTCAGCCAGCGAAATAAGTACTCGTAATTATAATTTATTTACGCAGCTCTCGTCTGCGTGGCTGCATAATTTTGGGCTGGTTTTTTAATTGGTCAACGACTGGGGAAACTTTGTATCTGTCGATGTGATTGCCGGGCGCTTCAATATGTCCAAAGTGTGTACACACAACATTTGCAACATTTTGCACTCGCGCATAAATTGTAAGCAATTGTTTCCTGCGTCACGACTCACATTATGCGAACCAGGAGTTGTGGCTGTGGCCAGGTTCATGCGTGCCAGCCGGCGTCGCGATTTTGCATCGAAAAATGATTAGGAAATTAAACACCCCACACAGGCCACGCCAGCTGAAAATGTTGAGGATGAAGACGCGCTCGCCCCCTCATCAGCATGCGGCTGGCATAATAAGTATGCAAAATCTCTCTGGCAGCTGCAGCGGCCCCATCTGACTGTGGTGCAACGTGGTGCCGAAAGCCATAAATTACACAAAACTGACCACCAGCCGGGGAACCAGCACCCGGCAGCATTAGTCGCCAGCAACTGCGCACGCATTGGGTCATTGCTGGGCACTGGGCAGGGGAGGCAAGGGTGGCAGGTGGGGAAAATGGTACTGGTCAGCTTATAATATGCAAAATATGCCGTAGCCAGGCCAAGCAGCTTCCCCCTGCCGCCTGTGGCACAATTGCCGCTGCACAAGAGCCGAGTAATTAAACGCGTTGCCTCCGTTGGCCTCCGGATGGCCCACTGCAAAAAACATGCCCCAGAGTTGTCAATGCTTATGGCAACTCTATGCTTATTGTTATGTTTATGAAAAAGCAGTTGAATACCCTACACAATGTGAAGTTGGCCTGTGCTTTAGGCAGACAGTGGAAGGCTTTGTCCTTTAATCAATTTTTGTAGCACACTTTTCAGCTGTCGTTTCATGAACTAGGATGAAGTCTTTATACTACCAAATGCTTTGAGCATACTAAATGCATTGAAATTGCATTCGAATAAAATAAATTACCTTGAAAGTTGTCTAGTGCTGTGCGCAAGTAATAGAAAGCTTTGCTTTTGAACACTATTTGTAGCATACTTTTCAGCGGTCGGCACAAACAAAGCCTAAAACAACATCAAATATTCAATGCAGCAAAATTGCATTTGTACACCCTACACAAGCTGAGATTTAATTTCATTTGAATAAGCTACGCATATGTAAAATACAACTAAATTCCCTTAGTGATAGGTGCACAGCGTGCAGCTCGGCCCTTTGATCAATTTGTGTTGCCTACTTTCCAGCGCTCGACTCAAATGCAACTTGATGCGGCTTGATGAGGCTACAGCCCAACAATAATTGTTATGCATTGAAATTACATTTGGAAAACTCGGAACACAATTTAAAGCCAAGCCCGAGCCGGCTAATGGCATATACAGTCCATTTGTAGCACTTCTCTGTGATCAACAAATATTTGACCAAATGTCGTCCGTTTGACTGCGTTGCAGGAGACTCTGCTGCAGCATGTTACCCATGCAATGCAACCACTAAGCCACTGCCACTGCCACTGCCATTGCCACTGCCACGCCCACTGGCGCCCACTAGAAAATCAAGTAATAGTCATAGACGGGGCGGCTGTTGAAATGTTTTTCGGCAGCATCAGACGCAAATTGCATGGAAGCTGATTGCGGACGAGATGTTGTTGCTGTTCCTGTGTCTGCTGTGGCTGCAACTAGTTGCATTGCTGCTGGCAATTGTTTTTCTGCATGATTTTTCAATTCATTGGCAAACGTAGCACAGGACACGCTCGTCCTGTAAGTGCTACGCTGCAGTTAGGTCCGGGCATTTGCGTCATGCCTAATGCTTATTATGCACACTTGAACGCTTGCAAATTTATGCGGCAAGCGTTGAGTTTGATGCCAGCAAAGGACTCTCTAGCAAGGACTCTCTCGGCCATAATCGATTTGTTGTTTTTATAATTTTAATTGAAGCCCGGCTTTGGTCTGTGGCCGTGCGCCGGCATGCCAGGCCAAGCTGGCAGGCTGCAATGTATTTTAGCAATTTCCTAAACAAATATTGCACAAAAGGATCAAAGTGTAAGCGTGTGTGTGTGTGTGTGTGTTGGCACGCACACACCCACACACGCTGGTCGCCGCATGCACCTGGCCAACTTTGCAGCGCCCCGAAATTGCATGCAACATGGAGCCGCTTTGTGGTCACGGCCAACATGTTATGTAATTAAAATGCCTGCCAGACATTTTAGCAACATTTTCGGCAATTTCAGCTTAAGCCAGTTTTCCTTTGACCTACCTCAATTTTAATACTCCTCTTCTTATCGCACTCTTTGCAGACGTTACGAATCTGGACTATGTCAAGGTAAATGCCGAGGCTGGCAAGAACGTGACCATACCCTGCCCGGGCGTCACGGAGCACTCGCTGGTGGACACGCTGGTCTGGAAGACAGCATCGACGACAATCGCACAGTTTGCTAATCGCATACCGTTGCTCCATAGCCCTAGGGTGAGTACGAATCGAAAATATATATTTATTATTAGGAGTCCTTTTAGCAATATTTGAGCAATATTTGCTTAGATTTTTAAACAGTTTCTAACATGGTTTGATTACTTTTAATATGTTGGCCAATACAAATGCTTGACTTAAAATTAAAAGAGATTCTGAAAAGGTCCAAAAACATGACAAACATTTGACAGAATTTCAGCCCAGAAGAAATTGCTCCTCCCAGACCCCTCCCATAACTTTCACAAAGCACAACTGAAGTTTTAGTCCTTAGTCCTTAAGATTGACTTCGAAACTAATTTTAGTTTATAACTAAAACAGTTTTATTTCCGAAATTTATTTCTTTCCTTTATTTGTAAATGAAAAACAATTTTTTGTTGTGAATTCCATTAGTCTGATATCGAATGGTACGAGTAAAAATCTCTGGAGTGCAGTTATAACTCAAATGCAATCCGACTTTGAATCATATCAGAATTCATTACCCACTTGCCATATTTCGGCACTTGATGGCCCGAGTCGGGGCCACTTGAGTTGGGCCATTAAATATTTTTGGGCTGCTTGCTACAGACAAAATGAAAACAGAGACTGAAAAAAATGGCTGTTAAAATAATTGATAGCCAGTTAGTTTCAAGGCGGCTGTTTGAACTTTGCCAAACGACAGCGACGACCGAGGCGAACAAAAAGAAAGTGCAGCAAAAGTCAGGAGAACTAAGTGGCCATCAGTGGGAGTTCGCAGCCAGCACTGTGCACTGTGCAGACAGTGGAGCCAATATATTTTTAATGTTTGATAGTTGTACTAAAATAAAAACGACGAGGCGCAAAAATGGTTTAAGTGGCAGCAGGCAGCAGGCAGCAGGCACCAGCTGCCGCCTTAAACGCACTCCGGGGGCCCACTGAGGCGGGGCAAACAAAATGAAGAATGAACAAGTTTCAGCGGCAGTCAGAAGGCGCTGCGACTAGGCAGCCCCTCCTTCCGCTCTCCTCGCAATCGTGTTAAATGGCAAACTGGGACACTTGAGCTGCAGCCAAGCCAAAGTTGGCGCCAAGCTAAGCAGAGTTTACCTGGCTTGCAGCAGCGCACTCGCTCATATTTCTTGGCCAATTTCGCCTTTGCCATTGCTCAATGTGCGACGGCTGCGCTGCACAGTGGGGCAAATCGACAGCAGCATTTTGGCTAGATCTTAAACTAGCTTGACGAATCGGACGAGCTATTTAGATAGATGTCAATAGATAGATAGATAGATAGATAGATAGATAGTGAATAGATAGTAGATAGTAGATAGATAGATAGATAGATAGATAGAGAGTAGATAGATAGGTAGATAGTAGATAGGTAGATTACAATCTATTCCCCAGAAAGCTTGACTTGAAAAGTGCAAAAAGAATATTATATACATATTTGGAGTTATGTTATATATATTTTTAAAAGAATATATATTTTTAATGATTTTAAAATATTTACAAAGCATTAAATGTTATTGGTAATATTCAATTTGTTTAAATAACTATTGGAAAACACATTAACGCATTTTAAAATAATTGAAATTTTAAACAAATTGTTAAGCCCATTAAACATTTATTTTATTGAAATATTTATCTTTCAGTCAGCATTATTTACAAACATTTTTAAATCATAATTGAGCTAGACAACGACTGAACCCAAGTCGTATTTTCTTTTGTTATCGAAATAAATTGGATTCCTTTCTTTTCACATTTCCGATGCCAATTGCCCCACTGTGCATTGTGTGCTTTATGCCTGGCTATTATATGTATTAAAAGTTTTTTAGACCGTCGTAGTAGCTGCTTCATTTTATTACAACTGACACCACACACACACACACTAACACATACTCACACACACACCTAAGCAGCTATTAACTTTTGTTTTATGGTTGCGGCTAAAAAAGAGAGTAAGAAGAGAATGATTCATGTTCCTGTCGCTGACTGTTTTGCAGTCTTAGCCCAGCTCAGCTCAGTTAGAGATTCTCTAGATACTATGATGAATTTCGAGCAGCTATCTGGGACATATTATGAGCCCTGTCAGGCGCACAGATTTAGTGCATGTGCAAACAAGTTGGCCCCGAAAATTTGTTGCATGTAATTAAAATCTAGTTGCAATTTACTGCTCGACTGCAGATTGCACTGTAAATTGAAATTCCATTGTGGAAAAATGTTGTGGGGCCAAATTGTTTTGCGGCGAGCAGCAGCTCTTGGTTATTGCTTAATAATCAAATCCAATCGAGCAACAATTTTATGCCACAAGACTGCAGCCAAAGGGCCCAGACGAATATGCTTACAATTTTGTGGCAAAACAAACACACGCACACACACTCACACACGCGCACACTCTTGCTGGAACTCAGACGAGCACATAATACTTATGACCAGCCAGCCCACACAGATACTTGAATGAGGCAAATGCATAAAGCTTCTTGGCAAAATGTGTAATAACAAAAACTTTGCATGCCCAACAAAAATGCCCATTTGAATACAATGCGATTCCAGAGATTTTCGACAGTTTCAAGTGTAAAATCCTTAATAGGTTTTCAAGAAATTATTTGATCTAAGAACGGCCTGGACATGCGCCCTGTCTGGCTGTCCATCATATCAAATGTGTTGCCTTTATAAATGGTTTTTTGGCGAAGCCAGGCGCAAAACTTAAAGTAATTTGCGTGCATTGTCCTCCAATACACAGTCTCAATTATGTGTCCAACAACAACAACAAGAAGGACATTGTCCATGTACATCGAAAAGTTATCGCATACGAATACAAATTGTCGTCTGAGTCAAATGTTGAACCAATGTTTGGGGCCATTTAAAGTGCCTGGCCATGGCCAACACACAAAACCGGCTCAGGCAATAGGTGTACTGCAGCAGGGGTGCTTGGCCAGGTCGGCTGGGCAGGAGGGGTGGTCTGTTGAGGGGGCGGGGGGAGGGAGGGAGGGGGGCGTGTGGTGATGCAGCAAACTTGCTTTTGCTAACTTATTTGTCTTTTGTATTAAAAAGTTTTGTGCAGCCTAAAGTAGAAACTCGTGTTGTCCACATTGTTGTCGGCCACTGTCAACGTCTCCATGTCCGTTTGTGTTGCTTTCGCTTTGTGCCACCCCCCCCGACCCCCGACTCCCGCACCCCCTCTCCGGTCAGCACGTAACCTCATTTCCCATTCAAACCGAACCCTTGTTCCACTTTGACTGCACACGATTGTGACAAATTTGTTTGTTATTCTAACTGATGGCAAGCCCAACATAGTTCATGGCAGTTACTCTAGGCTCGCTTTCGAAAGAAATAATTAAGATAAATTCAATTGAGTTTATTTTTTATCCATTTGCAGATACAACTTTTATCGGATAATTTTGGTTTGCAATTCTCGCCGGCGCTGGCCAGCGACACCACGGAATACATTTGCCTCGTCAACGATCGTCACATACCCGAAGCCATTGTGGATCTACTAGTCCAAGGTAGGTTTTGCTATATCACATAAATAAATATATAAATATCAGTTGAAGGTGCAATTTGTAGATATCCGAGTCGATATCCTGTTCTACAAAAATATAGTCTCGTTGTCTTTTCTTTAATCAAACACAAATTTCTTGAATTAAAGTGCACTTAATTATGTTTTTTTTGAAGTATTCTCATGAACTAGATCTATTTATTATCTCAATTAAGATGTTTTAGTTAACGAGATTAAATTTTGCTTTAACATTTTCTTCTGATTCGTTTTCATGCATTTATTTTTTCTATCTTTTTCGTATTATATTTCTTTTTTTTTTTCGTCTTCTTTTTATGCGCCATTTAATGAAAGCCATAACAACATTAATGATTTATCCGGTTTCCTTCCATTTTGGTGATTTCATTTGCAGTTATATATATGTGCATGTGTGTGTGTGTGCGTATGTGTGTGCACACAATTTCGATTTTCTCACCACACACCCGCACACACACACACACACATGCACACAAGCACACGTACGCGTTCTTGTCATGATTTCCATTTGCATTTCACTGATAGCTGCCAGTTTTTCTCATGTGTTTTTCTCATTTTTTCGCATTTTCGCTTTCTCCTTCGATTGCAGATGTGCCCGATCCACCGGAGCGTCCTTTGTTAATAAGTTTCACATCACGCTCCGTGAACTTATCCTGGGCGCACTCCCAACATCCACGGAATGCGCCGGTGACGCATTTCATTATTGAAACTCGGTAAGTACAGCATTCTTATATAGCTATAGGTCGAGTCCTTCAAGTCGGCACAGCTGTCTGTCTGCCTCTGTGTGTGTGTGATTTGTATGTGTGTGTGTGCATGCCACAGCTGAGCTGTAACCGTTCTGATTTAGCGCGCTTTAAGGTCTAATGTCAGTTGGACTAGATATATATCCAACATAATTATCCTTGTATTTATCATCATCATCTTGGGCCCATAAATATTGCTGTTTGCCACGCCCGCGGAAACGGGTTCAGTGGGCGACTTATGCATGGCTCCTTTCCTTTCCTTCTTTTGTCTTTGCCTTGCCAATGCAAACGCAATCAATTAAAATCATGCGTTTATTGCTTTCCGCTTGCCGCTCTTTGATAAATCCTTGTGCAGATATTGCAGCTGTCGTGCCCCCATGCCCCCAAGCGCCCCTTGCACCCCTTGCGTCCACTTGCGTCCACTTGCAGCTGCGAGTCCTTTAATTAATATGTGAAGCGTTGGCTGTGATATGCGCGCAAACACACAAGGATACGCACTTCACTTGTGCTCCATTTAAATAGAAAAGAAAACACGCACACACTTACACACACACTGGCACACCCGCTCCTGCAGCGGCTATTTTCCGAATAAGTTGAACTCAATGCGCGGCATGAAATGAAAACGATTGCCGCGAGCGCAATACAAAGGCCAGCAAAACGAGTATGCGGAAAAACTACTGAAAAGCGAAACTTTTTCAATAAATTCCCATCATCAGCAGCAGCAACAGCGGGTGCAGGGGGGGCGTGTCGAAGGGGGCACAAGACACTGGGGCCGGCAATCGATGACAGGCAACTGAAAAGCAAGCAGAGCCTGTGGTGCATTTATGCAAAATAAGAAATAACCACACACACACGCACACATACGCGCGCGAGTGCCTGCCAAGCGCTCATTCACATGCATATACATATATGTAGCATACTTTTTTGGGCATGCACAAAATGAAGCTGACGCTGACTACGACGGCGACGGCGACAGCGACGCCGACTGCACTTTATGCAAATTCTCCCATCGATGTGAAGTGATGTGAAGTGTAGCTTGAGTTGCTGTTGCTGTTGTTGTTGTTCGTGTTGCACGCGCTGCTGTTGCTGCCACAGAGCACGCCTCTTATTTACATTTTCGCTTGATTCGGTTTATTTGCGCATATGCATACCCACTGCAGAGAGGGCTGGGTATATCGGCCCTTGCAGTGCTTGTGTATTATGCGGCAGATATATTTTGAGTGCTCGCGCGCCGTCCCGTAAATTGAAAGACGATGACAACGAAGTGCTTCAAGCTGCAAATCTCGTCTCGCAAATCCACACACACACACACAGACTGAATGCCAATGCAATTGAAATAAGAGTTCAAATGTTGAGTGGAGGGAGGTGTCAAGTGAAAGGGGCGAGTGCATGCCTCAAAACAAGTGGCTGTACGTTAATGCCAGCCATCAATTGTATAACACACACACGCACACTCACACGCACACACACACACACACGCTTACTTATATATGTGAGCGGTTATTGTGTTTGAGGCCAAACTTTTATATGTATCGAATGGATGGTTGTTTTCGCATCTGTTTCGAGTGCTGTTTACAGTTGTGTAAAAGGTGTTTATCAATTTGTGTTGATTTTGATACCCTGTAAATGCCAAATGCTTCAAAATGGGTTGCATAATAAACAGCGCAGAATGAAACTCGTTAATATGCTTGTAGATATCTTTATCTCCAGCTATCAATATCTTTAAGTTCTTGAACCTATCTATATGAACTCTGGAACAAATTTCTATACAACAAAACTTTGTACAACAGACTTTTCGATAACTCCCTCCATTTATCTTGAGCATATATAGGATAAGATAAGATATAGCTTCCTTATGAGGTAAGGCAAGTAGATCCCAAAATTCATTGGAAGAGATGACAACAAATTTAGCATCTGATTTTCGTCCACATAATCCAAATAATCCGAAAATCAAATAAAAATATTTGAAAAGAGAGCCTCAATTTTTGGTCAACGTATATTTTAATTTAACGATAACATTTTTTTAAAATTTTTTTTAATTTATTCGAGTAGCAAGTAGTAAAAATCTGACTATAGGGTATCTACTCTAGTCAAGCTCTTGCTTCTTGTTGGTTTTGATGCTGTTCGCACACACACATGCACACACACACACAAAGCAATGCATATTTGCCAAATGACATCACATAGGAAATAAAAATAAAATTCAATCATAATTTTAAGTGCTCTCCGTTGATTTATTGGCCTGGGATTGAACCAAAAAAAATAAATAAATAAATAAAAATGAAGCTCATGTTGTTTTTAGCGAGTTTTTTCTTTTGACTTCCCGTAGCTTTAATATCAATTAATTAAACACAACGTGAAACGGTTTTTCTCTTAATGTTTTCAAATTGTAATTGAACAATGAAAAAATAATTAAATAATACAACAAATTTGAGAATGACAGTTGGCGTTGTAACTGTACTTAATTGTGCACAATTTCTGCTTACTATATTCAATAGAAATAAAATAATTATTATAGTTATTTTTGTTATATATACTTTGGATATGCGCTAGTTTGACAGCCAAACACAAAAAAGTACTCCCAATTGTGAGCTCATTTGAAACATAATGAGATATTTTCAAATATTATAATAGAGTCTCATTATCTATGCAGTTCATTGTGCATATTTCATGTAGTTGCTCAGCCGCAAAATACAACATTTTTGCCTCTTTAAAGAAGTCGTGCGTGAACTTTGGCCCTGGCCATGCAAATCACGCACACACACACACTCACACACGGACGCCCACAAAACACATAAGCCATATGCTAAAAGAGGCAGCAAGAAAAAAATGTTAAACGGCTTACAACAAAAAATTGTGTGTGTACTTTATACCGATTCAAGCACACGCACACACGCACACACTCTCGCAGTCTTGTTGTGCGGCCGCAAATTTATTTGCCACTGTGGTTACTTTGCAAGCTGTTGTTGTTGTTGTTGTCGAGCTGTTTTTTTAGGCGCAGCACATTTTTTACAAGTTGCCGCCGCCCATTTTTCATGAAGTCGCCAAGACTTTTTTCCCGTGTGTGTGTGCACAGTCACACACCCCTGCACCCACCCCCCTGCACCCGCCCCCAGCTGAGTAGCAGCTTGTATTCATTTTAACAAAATGTCCATTGACAATACACAGACACATGTGAGACACACACACACACACAGACAGGCACATACGTGCGAATGCGACTGCCCACTCGCATTTATTAATTTTAATGCCTTTTAAAGCAACTTAAAAAAATGCTTTTCGCCCATTTTCTTTTTTATTGGTAGTCAAATATATTTATTTTATTTTATTTTTTTTTTGTCTCCGCTTTCGGTTGCATCTCATATTTAATGCATTTTTAATCACACATAAAAGCTGCGCTCCCCCTTTCAACTCGTCCAGCTGACGCCGTGCAAAAGCCCTAATAACATAATGCGAACACACACGCACACACACACGCACACAACATACACACACATGCGTGAAATTTATGCGCGATACGGAATTTTTGGCAACTTTAAATAAAATTTACTGCACTTTGATATCGGTCATGAAAAATGCTCATTCTGCGGCCGCTGTTATAAATTTATGCGGCACAACCGACCCCAACAAAACAAATAACAAAATAAAGGATAAACCCGAAAAGAAAACTTTATCTAGGGCTTATCACATGCCGAATTTAATACCCTTGCAAGCATATTGATTTAATTAAATCATATCAAATGGCAGAGAACGCCATTAAAAGCTTAGCAAAATTTATTAACGACATTATTTCAATTTTCGAAATATTGACACATTCTTAGAAAAGCAAACTCCAAGTATCTTTCATTTTATAGCTATCGCTGCCAGACAAGAGAGCTATATAGCTCTATATATAATTTTATAATTTTATATTACGCATGTCAAAAATAAATATGTATTCATCATGTCCCTAATATCTACCTTTAAGAGTTACATATTTAATTACAAAACGATAATACCCAATGCTCGGGCATAAAAACAAAAACCTAATAACAATTTTTTGCTATTTCTAGCATGTGTGCGTGTGTGTATATGTGTGAGTGTGTGTGTGGTAAAAAGGGCATAAATATTTTAGTAGCCATGGCAAACGCTCGCATTTTATGTGCAGCAAATCTCGCCAAGCCCCCCCCCCCCCCTCCACCCCCCCCTCTCCCACATGCATTTTCATAATGCATTTGTTGCCCATATATTTTATGTTAATCCCCCTGCGGATGGGCTTTTAAAAATATATTCCATATAAATGAGGAAAAAAAATATTTAATATTGCATTTGCAGGTGTCAATTGAAGCAAACGTAATAAAGATTAATAAATTTCGGGCAGATAATTTATTTAGAAGGCAAAAAACAATCGAGCGAGTGCAAAGAGCATGTTATGAAAATGAATAATTTACAAATGAACTGCTAACTGATTGTGTATGTATTTTATTCTGTTTTGTTGTTGCAGCGAGGGCGAGGATGGCATCTGGGATCAAGTGGCCCGCATCTATACGAGAACGAATGCAACCTCATATCAGGTGACCGGCCTGACGCCCTTCACCGTTTACAGCTTTCGTCTGTTGGCCGTTAACAAGTTGGGCATCAGCCCGCCCTCGAAGGAGTCCTACTACATTGTGACGCTGCGCGAGGGTGAGTACATGGAGTCTATAGGGATGTGGAGCCGAGCATGGCGGAGCCCATTTTATGATAGGCTGACGTTAACGGTGACTCACATCAATTACCAGACAGCCTGACATGACACTTTTTTACAATCGCATTAAATTTTCATTTGCATTTTATGGCACGGCGCGGTGTTGCACCTGCTTTAAGTGCCGACCATGAAAAGTTGTGACCTCATAAAAGCGCCCGCTGTTAAGCCTTATGTGCATTTAATTATTTTAGCGCCAAAGCGTGCGAATGTATGTGCATGTGTGTGTGTGTGTGTGCAGATTAAGCTACAATTTGGTGTATGGGCGTGGCAGCTGTTGTTAAAGTTGCAAACCGAATTGACAAGCCGCAAATTGACAAATATTGCCAGCTAAACAATGCCACACACACACCCGTTTGCTGTTGCAACTGTACATTTGTTGCATGCTGCGTGTGTGTGTGTGTGTGTGACACCTGCTGCTTGCGGCATGATTAATTGTTGCCTACTTTTAGGCAAAGCAGAAACCTCGCCAAGCCTACGCACTTTTTCATAGGCTGCGCTCATTAATCACAGCAAAAGCTGCCTGCAGCTTGCCACGCCCAGTACGCCCCCCTCCCCCTCTCCCCCGTTTCCCACTCTCAACCATATATATCCAACTGGCGACAGCGACAAGCTATTAGCAACACATTTGTCTTAGAAGTGCCACGCAGACTCCAAATGGCAAGCCTTGGGGCATGAAATTCCATTTATGCCACACACACACACACACAACACTTAGTATTGAAAGGCGAGGCAAGCAGCTGCTGCTGCTGCAACACATGCGGTTGCAAATTAGTCAATAGTCTGCGGCCTGAAGCTCATTAAGAGCCAGCCGCCACGCATAGCTGCGGCGGCAACCCTGGCCAATTTGTATAAATTAAGCGAGTGGCATGCAACATTTAGGCCAAGTTTTCAATTTACAGCCGTGTGAAAGTCAATGGAAAATTTCTTTGAATTTATTTATATGCAACTTGCCAAGTTGCCCAGGTGACAAACTGTGGCAGAGCAACTTGTCCGGCTCCCCCTCCCCCCCCAAAGGCTGAGCAGCTCACCTGCCCGTCAGGAGTTGAGGCACGCACCATTTAACTTGATGCGACAGACGCGGCACCGCGGGGCGCAGCAAATCTCTGGGGGCTTAGGGCACTTGCAACTTATGTTGCGTGACAGTGACAACCTGACAATGCCACACACAGACACAGACAGAGACACAGACGGAGACAGAGACGAGAGCAACTTTGCCGTGCGGCAATTTTAATTTGAAATTTTTCGAGTTTGCGCCAACTTTTTGGCAGCCGAGCAAAAAAAAAGTTTGCACCAAAGTCTGCTGCCCCGGCTCATGTTTTCGATATGAATTTGAATGTGAATTTTGATTTGAAATTTTTGCCCTTTTTCCTCTGCAGCGCCCACGGGCAAGCCGATACCGACGACGGCGCACAACACATCCTCCAGCTCGGTGTACATCTCGTGGAAGCCGCCGGCGCCGGATACAATTTTGGGCGAGTTTCTTGGCTATCGCATTACATATCGTCCACGCGATCGCAATCCCAACGATACCAAGGAAATCTATATACGCGATAATACAGTGGAGGTAAGCGTATTTTCCACGCCTTTAACATAATTGAATTTCCACCATTTCTGACACTTTTCCATATTGCAAATGCCAGCAATAAAAGGGGAGCTCTGCATAACGTGCCACATTCGATATCCATTTCGGGTTCGTGCCATCGGGTGTCTGTTGCCATCTTCAACGAAATACACGCTTTTCAATTGGCCCACGTTGAGGGGCGCCACATCATGCGGCGCGTCGCGACGTATTAAAAAGTAATTTACACCTGCCGACAAGAGGTGTTTTTCTCACAGTCTGTGTGCGGCATATGCTAACAACAAAATACAAGTGTTGTCAGGGGAGGAGTGAGGAGGGGGGGGGGGGGGGCACAATTTACGGTTAGCGTATCTCTTGTAGTGGTCGCTATCAGAAGCAATTTGTTAACGATTAGTCGCCAACATTTTGGCCAAAGTCTGTGCCAGGTGTGTGTGCCAGAGGTGTGTGTGTGTGTGTGTGTCACTTTTATCTTTCGAAATACCAACACACGCGACGGCACTAATGAAGTGTGGCAATGTTTGAGACATTAATACATGCGGCTAACCGCCTGCGGCACGTGCCACCAAACATGCCACTCGGGAATACCTTCGGGTTAACCGCAGGCTAAAAGCAACGTCTAAAGGCCGTAGGAATTTTGGAATTTATGCAACTACTTTCGAGGAGACAAAATCACAGCCACACACAGTCCCACGAGCAGACCGAGTCGAAATTAACCAAAGGCCACTAATGGACTCCATTTTCAATGTTTAATGCGCAGATTTTTCAATTTACGAGCCCTTTTTTAATGCACGCTGCCCAAGGGAGAGGATGAAGGCGAAGGTGCTATAAAATACCGTCAATGTGGGCAATAAACATGGGCAGATATCCTGGGAAGTACAGCATCGTCTTCCGTAGCGCATTTTGTCAGCTGTCTCACTCCAGCTGAGTCTAGTTCCTTAAGTGACCTCAGCGAACTCGGGTTCCAGTTGAGCTAGAGCTACCAAATTTGGTATGCAGCTGCTTTATGCTATAGACAGTTCAATTTAATTCAACTTTATTTACAACTCTCCCAGTTCTGTGAAGGTAAAAAATGTAATAATAGCACTTAAATGGAGTATACCAAGTTTCTTTCTTTCTGTCAAAAAAGAGAAAAAAGTTTGTAAGCTTGTATAAGTATAGCTTACCGTATCGCATTTTGTTAGCTTTCTCACTCCAGCTGAGTCTAGTTCCTTAAGTGACCTCAGCGAACTCGGGTTCCAGTTGAGCTAGAGCTACCAAATTTGGTATGCAGTTGCTTTATGCTATAGGCAGTTCAAGTTAATTCAACAGTCTTGATGACTTGCACAGTTATATGCAAAAATAAAAAATTAAAACAAATTTCTTCTCCATTTTTAAGGAATATGAAGAAATGTATTTTAAAAAATTTATATATAATCTGTATATATATATATATATACTCGTTATCAGAATCTCAGAAGCAGCAGACTTCTGGCTATGAATTCTTTTCTGCTTTTCCCCTTCCTGCCACATCAAAGCCTTTTCCTATGTATAGTTCAGGGTACTCAGACTTCCTCTGTCTCCTATGTATAGTTCAGGGTACTCAGACTTCCTCTGTCTAATAATTCTTTTCTCATTTTCCCCTTGCTGCGACATCAAAGCCATTTACCTATTTATAGTCCCACGTACACCCAGTTTACCCAAATGCTCCGGAAGCTGGGCACACAAAATTGCATATTCAGCATGTGCATATAAATTTTATGTTAAAATTCTAAAACTTAATGCATATTTAAATCAACCGAAATAGGTTTTAATAATAGAGCTTAAAGCTTTGGCTAATTTCCGCTTTAAGTCGATGGCTCAATAGAATTTGCAGCGAAAATGTCAACTATATGCCGCACCCTCAATGCCATTTAAGCCAATAATATGCAGCGAATGGAATGCATTTTTGAATTTTCACAATTTTCACAATTTTCAATGGAAAAAGCGTGCAATACCGGGAGCTGGGCAAGAGGAAGCGAAATATGCAAAAATTATTAGCGATAATGCTCACGTACGACACTCGACGCGACGCAGTTGCCTAAAATACCAAAAAAAATAGGAGAAAAAAAACTATGCCAACGCATTGGGCATAGAGGAAGACCCAGGAGCAGAGGGGTCAGGGGCAGGGGCCAGGGGATTGTGTGAGGTTCCGCTGATAGGGACATGGCACGCTTTTGTGCTTGAGTGCATATTTTGCAGTTATCTAGACGCCGGACCCGCTGGCTAAACGAAGCTGAAGCTTTGCGCTCTTTCGCTCTTTTATTTTATTTTAAAATAGTACTTTTTTCTTTATTTTTTTTTTTGCATGTCAGTGCGAAATGTTGAAATATTATCCTTGCAGGCAGAAACGTGCGACTTCATGTTTTTTGTAAGTCCCGCTGAACTGGAGGCCATGCCCATACCTCGACCCGCTGCGGTAAGCTGTCAGAGAGAGCCCGGCATGCCCGGCTGGCCCGGAACCCTCGGTATTCTATGCTACATTGAGCTGTCACGTGTGAAAGCGCCTCGAGTCCTTGGCAGGACTATCGTTTGGCTTGCCAGCTTGCCAGCGGGTTACAATTTTGCCAATTTTCTAATTAAAATTTCTGCGCCGTAAAGCATAAATTTTGCTCGTTTTACGCCGTGCGAATTTCCACACAAAAGCCACCAAGTGAAAACTAAACTAAACCGTGTAAACTTTGTGCCACTCGCCGCTGTTGATAGCATTTTTCGGCGCAGCTCAAAGGATATGCAGATGTGCGGCATGTGGCAACCAAACCAAATTTGTAGCACATAGTTGTAGTTTATTCTTCTTCTTCTTCTTCTTCCTACTCTTCTTCGTGTTGTTGTTGCCGCTGTTAATTGTTGTTTGAGTTTCGCTTTACACCTTTTTGACTAGCTGCTAGGGCAACGCTCCGCGCACACACACACACACACACACACAAACAGGGGTATCGGTTGCTCTGCTGCTAGGGAAAAGTTTTAATGATGCGCCAGTGTTGGGCAATGCACTAATTACCAGCTTTACGTCACAGCTCTGCTCGAATCTATGCAACCACATTTAACACTCTGTGCGTCAAAGCGCAGAAACAAGTATATTAGTGTGGGGCTCGTTTGCAGCTGGCGACGAAACTTGAAACTTAAAATGTTACAATAGTCCAACAGACATAAGACCCTTCAAAGTACAGTGAAAACTCTTCCCATGGTCACTCGTATTGGGCGAACAGCCCCCTCTAGGACATTCATATTCTAGTAAACCATTATTAATCGAGCTACACCCATTGCACCTCATTTTGGGGAACTCTCCGCTCGCTGTCCGCCCATGTCCGTCAGGCTGTTCGTCAGTCTGTCCGACTATCTGTTCGTCTATAGGAACATTTTGATTTCTGGATCCATAGTGGCCAGATACCTGAAAGTTCAAATAAATATTCTCGCAATTGCTAATTATCCTTTCGATTTCTGCTACTTTAGTTCCAAATATCGATAAACATCGATTATCCTTTCGATTTCTGTTACTTAAGCTCCAACTATCAATAAATATCGATTTTTAGGCGTGGTTATTTACGCTATGAAATCTACATACACTTAATTTGGCATGTAGCTTGTCTGCACAAAACTCTAAAATAATCATTTTATGTTTATGCCCTGGAATTCTAATAAAGATCAGAAAGTAAACACCAAAGCTCTTTAAGAATTAATTTAAAGTATAAACTAAGGAAAAAAAAAGCTCAACCACAGCATAATCTGGCCAGTCAGGGTATCTCCTAGTCGGACAATTGCAACTGACTTTTGAATGCTTAAATTTGTCAGGAAGATCTATTTATTGCAACCAAAAGTCGATATTGCCTGCCCCCCGCGCCCCCTATTAAGCAAGCAGACACTTTTCGATTGACTTAAGCACAGTAATTAAACTGTGAACAGAGTATTGGGCAGTTGTTGGCAGTCGTGTGGGTTTGTTTTTCTGGCAATTTATCATGCTTTTAGCCAAGCACACACTCGGCTCTATCAATTACATTATATCAATTAACTGCTTTTGGCCAACTTTGGCGGCGGCCGCATTAAAGTGGCAGCAGTTGTAAATTTCGGGCCTCATTTACTGTGGCCACTCGACTGGCGACTACATAAAATGAAATTATATGGCGGCATTAGCGCCGACCAAGGCCAACTAAAATCTAGCCTACACACACACGCACACCAACACATAGCTGGACAAAAAGATGTGCGCCTGTTGGTTGTTAAATCAAAGCGCTTGTTGGCCAACTCTGGCGCCTGGTAGCCACTTAAGCTTTTGGCATGGCAGTCAATCCGTTTCTAAGCACACACAAATGCACACACACACACAGAGAGAGAGAGGCTCTAAGCCAACCGCTTTGCGGTCCAGAACAGCAGCAGCAGCAGCAGCAACAACAACAACCGCTGATGGCAGCGCTCTAATGTATGCAACATAAATTGTGTTTGTTGTAGCAGGCAGCCATTTTGAGCTTAACTACAGCTTGTATGCATGCATGTGTGAGTGTGTGCGTGTGTGTGTGTGCGTGTGTGTGTGAGCTGCTCAAAGCCAGCGGCTTGTTTTATGGTTTCGCACTGCTTTTGACCTTACGTTAAATTTTAATAAGCCGCACCCGCCCAGGATATGCTGCTACATAAGTAGTTTTTGCCGGGCTTCGTCTGCTGGAAGAGGCTGTGCTAGTGGGCGGGGCAGTATCTGCTGGCGCATCCTTCGATGATTGCCTTTGAGGACCAAAAGGTATTTCTATCAAGGGCTGCACTCTTTGCCCTTTAATTGAGTCCCAATACACCCCATCAAAAAATTGTCGTAAATATTATAAAAATAATATAATATTTTTTATAATTTAAAAAATACATTTTTGATATCAAAGCCTTCCAAGTTTCGAGCCAAAGTTGGACTTTATGCTTGAGGGAAATCAGGTTTAAGCCTCGATTTTTTTTGTCAAATTCCATAATTTATATTTTCTTAGGTAAATAAAAATTTAATAAATAATTTATATAGATTATATTTTTGTAGGTAAATAAATAATTTTTATTAAATTTATATTTCTATTCTTTAACTTCGTCGCTTATTGCTTCTGAACTTTTCCAATCGCAAGAATATATATATTATATACATATGAAGGAGCATGATTATAACTTTTTGTTATTAGGCAATAAATCTTTGCTTGAATAAAACGCCTGCACGGCAGGTTGCTGAGGTTCTTCTCAGGGTTGGGGTCAGCCATAGCCCTGGCAACCGTATCGGGATATATTTTCAGGCAAAGCCTGGCTTCTTGCCAGTGGAAATTCAGACCCAAATCTTATTTGTCAAATTTCTTTAAGTAAACCAAAAAGTAAATAATAATAATTTTTAAATTTATGGACACCTTTAACCAAATCTTCATGAATGAGCTAGGCGACCAGGTTCGAGCCGTGAGTCGAACAATCGATGTATATACATATATTTATTTATTTTTTTGACTTGCAGCTATTTTTTTTTTATGTGCACATGTGTTTGCCTGTGCAGGCTGCCTGTTTGTTGGCCTCGCACTCAATTTCCTTCATATTTTTTGTTGTGCCACGCGCTGCAGCAAATACATTTTTAACGGCTGCAATTTTACATACGTGCAAACATATTTGCCAGACGACGCACAAACTTGTGCAATGCGCAATTTCCGCTTGAGGCAGCAGAGAAGGGTCAGCAAGGGGGGAGCAAGGGGGGAGCAAGGGCTAGCAAAAGAAGCTCCACCTGCGCTGAGTTCATTTGGTTACCTTTTACGCATTTTATACGAGAGCATGCATTTATTTTTGCTTATTATTAATTTCCTGGTTTTCGTTTTCTTTGCAGAGTCATGAGATTCAGAATCTGGAGACGTACACGCAATACAAGGTGACCGTGCAGGTGTTCAATCCGGAGGGCCTGGGCCCGGAGACAACCATATTGGTGATGACCGATGAAGGAGGTGAGTGCTCCACTTATATCTAGAATATTGCATAAGACTGAAGCTGTTTGCATTTAAAATGAGAAAGAAGAATTTTATGGAACACTCAGATAAATAGTTCTTGGTGGAAAATTCTCTGATTTCGCTTACTTACATAAATTCTTCTTCTGAGTACTCGCTTGAGTCGTGCTCAATTAAAGTTCGTCCAAGCAAGAGGTATATTGGAAATACAGATTTACAGCAAAGTTTTCTTCTTTATCAAATGCCACATGTAGAAAATATGAAATGCAGCCACTTGTTTTGGCATCTGCGATATTTGATTTATCTGTGTGGCAAGTTTGAGTCTTCAGCTGGATTTTGCACAACTATTTCGCACATATGCAAAATGCAACTGCTTATTGAAATGCCAAGTGACCAGAAAGTGACCAGGCTACACGATTCAGTTCATATATTCTGGCCAATACTTGCAACAATACAACTAAAAAGCAGCAGTAGAAGACGTGCAACAATAAACAGAAATCGCTTTTGTGTGCGGTTTTCCAAGCCCGGTGCTTTAAAATGGCATAAAGGGTATATTAGACTTTGATGTTCATGTGGTCAAAGGCTACAATATTTGCCACGCCCTCTTAAGTTTTCAACTTCTAAAACTTTATACATAGTTATCTAAACTTTAAACTCTATATATGGTCTGCGAAATAGAAATCCTTTGTATGTTATATTATTTATTGTTTTTGACATTCAAGAAAAGTTTAATTTAGAAAAATAGAGTATACGCTCAGCCGGCTTGCAGCTGCAGTTTTCTTTGCTAGTTTCGCTTACTTTCCCGCCCGCTCAACAAAATTTCTCAGTTTAAATGGAGAAAGAGCCGAGGCTTTGACTCGCTCGACCGCAAAATGTCTGTGCCATGCAATGAGGCAAACAAATAAAAGTTGAGTTAGACCAAACAGAGGCAAAAATATGCTACAATTTCTCATATTTCTTTCAGCAGCTGCAGCTGCACTGTATATATGTGTGTGTGTGTGTGTCGGGAACTGTATTGGAATTGAGCATAAATAAAAATTGCTTACTTAAACTTTTGCCATATGCTGCGTACTCAGCACAACAAATCGAGGCAAAAACTGTTCAGGCATATCTTTTATGCGCCACGTTGCGCCATCTCCAGCCAGCCAACTTTCCGCCCCTTTCCCGATTTCCCTTTCCATTTCCACGTAACATTTATATCTTTTTTATTTTTTAGAGAATTTGTTTTGTTGGCGCGCTCCAACGTGGATTTCCGTTGCCGTCTCAGTCTGAGGCACAGACGCCGCCAATAACGGAAATCCACCGACTCCAGACTCCGACGCCGGCCACTGCCTACGTTGCGGGGGTGGTGCAAGCGGCAGGGGGAGTGGAGCAGGGGGAGTGGGGCAGAAATGCCCCTCGCAATGGCCCTTATAATTCGGTTATGAAATTTGCGTCGTCTTAGATAAGTTAATATATAATCCGGATAGGTAAAACAAGTTGAAAGTAAGTCTTAAATAGAAAAATATTACTTTCAAGCTGTCTTAATTATCAGGAATATATTTAATCTTCATATCTGGCTAAAGCCTAGCTTATCGAATATCCGAGTATATATATACATTACTGAGAAGCAGCAGTAGAGAGAACAAACTTCTGAACGATTAATAATTAATACATATATCATAAAAGAGGGTATTCAACTTTGGTCGGGTTAGATGTCACAAATTAAAATTACATCTCGAATAACATCGCCAGCCTAATAGATTTTTGTTAACTTTGCAAACTAGACTTTTAGTTTGATAGATAATATTAATATAAAGAGTCTGTCAAAAATTAAGTTTTTATATGCCAAACTATTCTGTTTTTATACCCTTGTGGTGGGTAAGGCCTTGAAGTAGACCCCATAAAGTGTTTTGATCGTTCGATAAATGAGTTTTCTGTATGGCATAATTTTCTATTTTCGCAGCCTTAAGGCATGTGTAAGGATATTAAAGGTTCGACGCAACAAAGATATCCTTAGTTTCTAGTCCAAACTCAACAAACACAAGCTCCCCAATTCTCCCGACATATCTGCAAATCTTTATCAAATCCGACTGCCATATTGAATGGTCTCTATAGCGACAATTGGCAGGACTTAGCCATATGCCTCGAAGGGCTCTTTATCTTCGTCGCGTCGAGGCTGGCCTGGCGACTTAGAGGCTATGCCAACAACATGCCTGAGAGACAATAATAGCTTATATTTGCAGGCTTTATGTTTTGATGGCTTTTCCCTTTTTGCCAGGTTTTAATTTCGCAAAGTCGACGCTAAGCTCGCAACTCTTTGAGTGAAAAGTCTTAAAGAAAGTTGAATGCCTAACGCATAATTAGCATAAAATTCAGCCGAAAATCCGCTCAGCAGCAGCAGCTGAGGTTAGCCTCGCCGGTTGCAGATGAAGAGTATCAGGGCAGAGCATTGTATAATGAGTAAATATATAAGTATAAGAAAATGAAATATTTCCGCACATAAAAGTGCAACTTTTTAATACACACACATTTCGGGCTAAGGTAAACATGTGCAAATGAAATCCGAGATATATTTGCCAATGCGACAGAGCAGGTTAGATGATATAGGGCTTACTTTCCCAAAAGCAGATTTGTTTGCTTTTGGCAGAGTCTCAGCTTCGTTTGTTTCTTTCCATTTTTTTTGGGAACATTTTCATAAGCGCCTTTCCTGCTGCAGAGTTCACTGCAAAATGTTCGCAGCTGGCATAATTTTGTAATTTCATTTCATTTCACATTTTCTTCTTTATAAATTTTCCTTCTTTTTTTTTTGTGGGTTGGAGGGGCTGGGGTCTGCCAGGTGCAGACAGGCAAGGCTTTCAGGGGATTTGCAGCGGCTTAGTCGACAAGTTTAAACAGCTGTGCAGGATGCGGCTCGGGATGTAGATGTGAATAAGGATGTGAATAAGGATGCGAATGTGAATGCGGCTTGCCTTGATGAGCTTGGCAACATGTTGGCTATGCCTTTGACAGACTTGATTAATTAGCAGTTAGTAGGCGCGCACTCACACACACACACACACTCACCCACACACACATGCACTCACAGTCTTAACTCGAATCATATTTCATGAATTTCATTTTCATTTTCTGACTGCCTTTTGCTGCTGGTCGAAATCCAATGCCAGCCTGTCTGCTGCTTCTGTGTGTGTGAGTGTGCGTGTGTGTGTGTGTGGCATGCCACAAGACCTCCCGCCTGGCCGCATGCGGTGAACATTATGAAGCCTTGCAATACAGCTTAGCGAGCGGGCAGTGCCACGCCCAGCAATAAACATGCTCGCCGTGTCCCTTGACTGAAGGACCCAGCGAGTCGGCAAGTGATAATGCCTTCAGCTCTCCCGTTGCGTTCTGACAAAAATCAAAAACCAAAATAGAAAAAAATATAGAAGCCGTGCCGGAGCTTTGATGCCCTTGCAAATAGTTGTTACGGAATCACGAAATCTGATCTTAAGTGGGAGCTTCTTATGTAGTTGAAAGAGGTTTGATTTATTAATTAGTTTTTTAATCGACTTCTTCTATGAAAGCTTATGATATAGTATTTCGCTTTTGCTTCTGTTTAGAGTTTTGTTTTTATAAAAAAAAATATTTAATGATTCAATTTATTCTGGCCTCTTCAGGAGGGGTCGGGTGACCTGCTCAAACCACCTAACCCAACTTTTGATATATAATATACGTAAATATACTGGACTGTGAACATGGCCTTGCGAAATTAGAGTCGTTGGCAAAGTCAGCCGTTTTTAGAACCGGGAGGTTATTGAAATAGCTATACACGCAATCTGCTAACTCTTGGTATTTGTACCTTGTTCTTGTGTTTAGTTAAAATTAAACAAATCACTAAATTTCCTTTTCCATAAATAAATATATATTCCTGCATATATAAATATGTTTTTAAGACGACAACTTAAATTTTGGCCGATTATATGGTAGCTATATGATCGAAGTTACTAATGAAGTTTCTGAGGTATATGTTTATGTTTATATATTATCTAATAATAATATTAATAATATTAATAAAAAAATAATATTAATATTGATTATATTGATTAATATTGATAGTAAATATTAAAAAAAACAATAATGATAATAATATAAATAATAATAATAAAATTGATTTTAATTTCAATCAAATATATAAGCTTATTTTTCGAGCAATTGATTAAGACTCAACTATATGATAAAGTAATCAACATATTTTAATACAATTTAACGTGCCTTTATAAAAACCAACAAGAGTCCTATTTCCTGAGTTGGCTAAAGATATCTGTAAATATAAACAAATTCATTTCGTACAATAGCTTAAATATTAAACTCTAGCTGTTATACCCACAGCTAGATAATACTAGTTTAGTTTCCTATCCGAAAGGTTAAATCATAAAAAAACGCTGTTTAAAAAGATGGAACTAATTCTGTTTCGCCAACACAGCTTTAAAGCTTAGTGAATTCGTAAAGATCGCCAAAGGTAATATGCCTAAGTCGAAAGTTTTTATTGGGAAATAAATAACAGGGCTTGTGTCCCTTCCAAAACAGTTAACGTCAGTTAGATAAATAGACAGATAGATGGATTGATAGATAGATAGATAGATAGATAGATAGATAGATAGCTAGATAGACAGTTTGATAGATAGATAGATGGATGGTTAGTTAGTTAAACAAAACTAAGACAAATAGTTTGCCTCGGATCCTCACGAAAGAAATATGCTTAATTATTTCTATTCTTCTTTAGATACACTCAGCTAAATCCAGATCAATTATATATTATATTATCCAAGCGTGACATATTGCCTTAAAATTTTCAGATACCCTGCCCGTTAGGGCATTTAACAAAGGGACACGTGGCAGCGGCAATTGCAAAGCAATTCCAAAGGCTTCACTTATTTCGCTTTTATTCGATATTCCTCTCAGATGTTGTTCTTCTTCTTCTTCTTCTTCTTGTTTTTGGTTTTATTGTTATTGTTGTTATTGTTGCCAGCCTGTTAAGTCCT